GGAGGCAAAGAGGAGAATGTATGAGAGACTAGTTTTACCAACGCTCTTATATGGGTGTGAAGCATGGGTGATGAATGTTGCAGCGAGGAGAAGGCTGGAGGCAGTGGAGATGTCATGTCTAAAAGCAATGTGTGATGTGAATATAATGCAGAGAATTCGTAGTTTGGAAGTTAGGAGGAGGTGCGGGATTACCAAAACTGTTGTCCAGAGGGCTGAGGAAGGGTTGTTGAGGTGGTTCGGACATGTAGAGAGAATGGAGCGAAACAGAATGACTTCAAGAGTGTATCAGTCTGTAATGGAAGGAAGGCGGGGCAGGGGTCAGCCTAGGAAAGGTTGGAGGGAGGGGGTAAAGGAGGTTTTGTGTGCGAGGGGCTTGGACTTCCAGCAGGCATGCGTGAGCGTGTTTGATAGGAGTGAATGGAGACAAATGGGTTTTAATACTTGACGTGCTGTTGGAGTGTGAGCAACGTAACATTTATGAAGGGATTCAGGGAAATCGGCAGGCTGGACTTGAGTCCTGGAGATGGGAAGTACAGTGCCTGCACTCTGAAGGAGGGGTGTTAATGTTGCAGTTTAAAAACTGTAGTGTAAAGCACCCTTCTGGCAAGACAGTGATGGAGTGAATGATGGTGAAAGTTTTTCTTTTCCGGGGCCACCCTGCCTTGGTGGGAATCGGCCAGTGTGTTAATAATGATAAAAAAAATAGTTGAAAAATATGAGAGTGGCCTTCGAGTGCTTGACCTTGCCAGGATGTATGGGAAAAACAAATCAACAATCACTTCTCTCCTGGCAAAGAAAGAACAAATCAAGCAAGCTTATGTGGCGAAAGGGGCAGACGTGCTAACCAAACAAAGGTAACCAATAATTGAAAATATGGAGAAGTTATTGTTGTTGTGGATCACCGAAAAACAATTAGCAGGAAACAGTGTTGTGGAATCCATTATTTGTGAGAAGGCAAGGCAGGTGCGTGCAGATCTTGTAAAGAAAATGCCTGGAACAAGTGCTGATGCTAGTGAATTTAGGGCCAGCAAAGGTTGGTTTGTGAAATTTAAGAAGTGTAGTGGCATACACAGTGTGGTAAAGCATGGCGAGGCTGCAAGTTCTGAAAAATGTGTGGCTGAAAAATTCGTACAGGAATTCCAGGAGTACGTAAAGACTGAAGGATTCAAACCCCAACAAGTGTTTAGTTGTGACGAAACAGGCCTGTTTTGGAAAAAAATGCCAAAGAGGACCTACATTACTCAGGAGAAAAAGGCACTGCCAGGCCACAAGCCTATGAAAGACAGGCTTACTCTTTTGTTCTGTGCTAATGCTAGTGGGGATTTCAGAGTGAAGCCTTTACTGGCATATCACTCTGAAAATCCAAGAGTGTTCAGGAAAAACAATGTCATCATGAATAGATTGTGTGTGATGTGGAAAGCTAACAATAAGGCATGGGTCACAAGGTATATTTTCAAAGAGTGGGTCAATGATGTGTTTGGCCCCAGTGTGAAAAAATACCTCCTGGAAAATAAATTGCCACTCAAGTGCCTCCTGGTACTGGACAATGCTCCTGCTCATCCTCCAGACTTGGAAAACCAGTTGTTTAGGGACTTCAGGTTTATAACATTGAAGTTATTGCCTCCTAACACTACTCCTCTCCTCCAGCCCATAGACCAGCAGTGTTTCAAAGGTGCCTTGAAGTGACCTCGGACACAAATTTGACCCTAACAGAGTTCTGAAGGAATCACTTGGCAGGGAGTGACATCCAGGACTTTGAATTCTGCTTGGAGAAAATTGTGGCCAGGTTGTGTCCGAGAGGGATTTTGAGGGGTTTGAGGCTGACCCTGAGGACCCTCTGCCTGTTGTGGATTCTATTGTGGCACTGGGGAAGTCCATGGGGTTGGAGGTTAGTGGCAAGGATGTGGAAGAGTTGGTGGACAACCACAGGGTGAGCTAACCACTGAAGAGCTTCAACTCGAACAGCGACAGACTGCAGCAGAGGAACTTGCTTCAGAGGAGGAGAAAGAGGGAGTGAAGGAGGTGCCTTCTTCGGAGATTAAAGAGATTTGTGCAATGTGGACTAGGGTGCAAGCTTTTGTAGAGAAATACCACCTTGACCAAGCTGAAACAAGCCATATCTGCAACATGTTTAGTGACAAAGCTTTGTCTCACTTCAGGGAAATCTTAGAGATACCAGAAACAGAGCACTCTTGACAGTTAATTTGTGTGACAGGTGTGCAGTGACTCTCAAGCTGGTCCTAGTGGCATTAAAAGACAAAGAAGGGAAGTAACCCCAGAGAAGGACTTGTTACCTGCAGTCATTATGGAGGGGGATTCCCTTTCCAAACAGTAACCCCAACTCCCTCTCTCCTCCCTATCTTCCATAAGTCAGGAAGAGTCATCAATAAAGGAATGTAATACTGATTTAATTGTTCATGTATTTGTTTTAATTCATTAATTAATAAAACATCATTTTTTGTGAATATTTTTGGGTGTCTGGAACGGATTAATTGTATTTACATTAATTCTTATGGGAAACATTATTTCGGTTTTTGGCCATTTCGGTTTTAGGCCAAGTTTCTGAAACGGATTGCGGCTGATAACCAAGGGTCCACTGTACTAGGACATTTTATTGGAAATATTTTGGACCTGGGACCTTGGTCACTACATTTGGAGTGACCAAGTTCCCAGGACCAAAACATTTCCAATAAAATGTTCTAGTGTTTGCATTTTGTGTCTTTCTCCAATTCCCTTTACTACCCAAAAATAGGAGCATTGTATGCAAAGTCATCCTGCAATTATTTTTTTTTTCAACAAACTGGCCGTATCTCACCAAGGCAGGGTGGACCAAAAAGAAAAACGAAAGCTTCTCTTTTTAAATTTAGTAATTTATACAGGAGAAGGGGTCACTAGCCCCATGCTCCTGGCATTTTAGTCGCCTCTTACAACACGCATAGCTTATGGAGGAAGAATTCTGTTCCACTTCCCCATGGAGATAAGAGGAAATAAACAAGAACGAGAACTAGTAAGAAAATAGAAAAAAAACCCAGAGGGGTGTGTATGTATATGCTTGTACATGTATGTGTAGTGTGACCTAAGTGTAAGTAGAAGTAGCAAGACATACCAGAAACCTTGCATGTTCATGAGACAGAAAAATGGACACCAGCAATCCTACCATCACGTAAAACAATTACAGGCTTTCGTTTTACACTCACTTGGCAGGACGGTAGTACCTCCCTGAGTGGTTGCTGTCTACCAACCTATACTATCTTGCTAATATACATAGGTAAATTATTTCATGAACACATGAATACACCCATGATGGAATTTAATGTGGATCCCTGTAATAGAAATGTAAGTGAAAACAAGCCTTCAGACTAATTGAGGATCCTTTGATTTATCACTAACCAAATATTGTCACCTGAGATCATATTAACCCTTTCAGAGTGGGTTTCGTTGTACTTTGGCTTTGAAGCGCGGGTCTGTCCATTGTTCTGCGTGATGAGCTCAGCTCTCTCAGATAAGCTGTGAGCTGTAAATTTGGGCCTAGATATGAAAGAATGGGTCTTTTCAGTAAATGCACACCATATAAAAAAAATCCTGCAGCATGCAGTACATAATGGGAAAAAACTGCGACCATGTTTTTGGTTTAAGACCGACTTTGCGGTGTTTTTTCGTGTGTTTTTTATGGTTGTATTCTCGGTTTCTTGGTCTCACTTGAGTGAATGGAAGATATATTACAGAAATAGACATGATTTTGACTGGAAGTATCTTGAAATTGAGCTCAAAGTAGTGGAAATGTTCAATTTTTGCCAGTACAGTGGACCCCCGCATAATGATTACCTCCGAATGCGGCCAATTATGTAAGTGTATTTATGTAAGTGCGTTTGTACGTGTATGTTTGGGCGTCTGAAATGGACTAATCTACTTCACAATATTCCTTATGGGAATAAATTCGGTCAGTACTGGCACCTGAACATACTTATGGAGTGAAAAAATATCGTTAACCGGGGGTCCACTGTATTCCAGAGCACACAAATTATATCTCTCGTTCAATATACATCCAACTGGTCAGTCTAATATGCTTTCACAAATACACTAACATTATTTATACAATTATTACAATAGTGCAGAAGTCTCCTTAACAGTAAATCTTCCATTTTTTGTGTGAATAAAAATTCAAAATGGAAAGCAAGCATAATGTAGGAGAGACCTGAGGACATGATTAATGAACAGAGGAAATGTTGTTTTAGTGCCAGGAATGTCCACATTGTTATTTTGAACCCTGTTTTGAAATAGGCAATTTTTTAATTTTATGTGAAATTGGCCAAATTACCAATTTCTGTGCACTTTATTGGATAGTTGAAATAGTTGAATGGGCAATTTCTTGTATGCAGTCAATAGAATGGAAGGAATACTATCAAAATAGTTATGAGTTTGGTTGACTGGAACAATGGAATTGGCCAAAAATAGGGCTCAAAGTGGGTGAAATCGCCAATGCGTAAATGTTGCTGAGACCGCTAACTTTGCAAGAGCGTAATTCTGTAAGCTTTTCCATCAAATTTTGTACTTTTGGTTTCATTACCTTCAGAAAAACCTTATCATTTCACAATTATTTTTTTTTTTAATTTTCCAACCTCGAGAGCAAGTTTCAGATCAGAGGTTCTGACTCTGAAAGGGTTAATGAAGGAGTGAGAAAGTCATATGCAACAGAGATTAACTTTCAAGTAGCATTTTGTTTAATGGTTAGTAAAATGGTGTTCACAACATTTATTTCCCTCAAGAAGAACGAATAAAAAAGCACAATACCGTGACTGGAACATTACGCAAGTAACCCACACATAGCAGAGAGAAACTTATAAAGATGTTTTTATCTAGTCCCACCTGTTTGACTGGTTAATGGTCTAAGTTGGACCAAGATGTCATCATAAGTTATTTATGCATTTCTCTCAGTTATAAAATGCCAGTAGGTAGGTTCATGTTGCTTTCTCTTTAAACATTCTTTATAACCCTTTCAGAGGCTTGGTTGCTTTGGAAGTGTTGAGAAAAATTGAGGAGAAAGCTGGCCAGCCTATCCACAAGCTCTTTGATTATATATGTGGCGTGTCAACAGGAGCCATTCTTGCAGTTATGATGGGTAAGCTGTACACAGTGTTTCACATTCACACTGATTGCTCTGTGTGTTATATCTCAAGATAGGAGAGAGAGCTTTTTCGTTACAGTTGTTTGCACATCATTTTCACTTGGTTTTCAGGGGTGTATCACTCTAGTCTTCATTTATGTTTTAAGCACATCATTCAAAACTTGTCAGGTCACCCATATTAAGACTCACAAAATCATAATGACACAATTGCAAACAAACTGCAGTACAGATAGGGTTAAAACCCATAGCATATGAGTCATAAAACTCCAGGTCAGCTGACCCAGTGGCTTACACACTTGCACTGGGTTTTAACCCCACCCGTACTATGGTTTGTTTAACCCATATGAAATTTTTCAAGCATTTTTATTCTACTATTGGTTTCATACATTCTTGGACAAAGGTGAAACCTATTCTAAAAACAGCTCAGTAGTCAGGGAACGAAATGTTGAACAATCTCTTCATCAACAAAGTGATACTACTTGTAGCATATCACATTTAACAGTAAATCCCAATACTCACCCTAGAACCTGTTCTTGACATGGTTACTACAGACTACAGTACCTATCATTAAACAATCATACAATCAGGCAGTTGCTGAGAATCATTAAGGGGAGACACAGAATGAGAATTTATAAAAATTTAAATGTTTCTTTTTTTTATACTTTTGTGAACATAGATAAGAGTAAGGTGATGAGGGTATCAAACAGTTTAGATAAAGAAAAATTAGATATCACATTGGAGGGAGGGGGTATGGAAGAAGTGAATGTGTTCAGATATTTGCAAATTGACTTGTCAGCACATGGGTTTATGAAGGATGAGGTTAACCACAGAATTGATGAAGGAAAAAAGGTGAGAGGTGCATTGAGGTATCTGTGGAGACAAAAAAACATTATCCATGGAGGCAAGGAGGAGGCTGGAGGCAGTTGAGATGTGGTAGTTTGGTCATTTAGAAAGAATGGAACAAAGTAGAATGACTTGGAGAGCATATAAATCTGTAGGGAAAAGAAAGTGGGGTAGGGGGTCGTCCTCAAAAAGGTTGGAGGGAGGGGGTAAAGGAGGTCTTGTGGGCGAGGGGCTTGGACTTCTAGCAAACGTGTGAGTGTGTTAGATAGGAGTGAATGGAGACGAATGGTTTTTGGGACCTGACAAGCTGTTGGAGTGTTATTTTTATATAGCCAGACTTGAGTACTGGAAATGGAAAGTACAGTGCCTGCACTTTAAAGGAGGGGTTTGGGATATTGGCAGTTTTGAGGGATATGTTATATATCTTTATAAATGTTTCTAAACTGTTGTATCTGGGTGCCTCTGCAAAGACAGTGATTTTGTGTGAGTGAGGTGAAAGTGTTTTCTTTTTGAGGATTTTCTTTCTTTCTTTTTGGGTCACCCTGCCTCGGTGGGAGACGGCCAACTTGTTGAAAAAAATTTATTTATTTATTTATTTATTGTATTATATTATATTAATAACAGGGGCTTTATTTCAAGGTAATTAAAATGCAGTTGTCATTTGCAATGTACCGTGCACTGTCTAAATAATAGTGGTTTCTCTATGTTTGCAGGAGTACATCGGTTTCCACTGGACAAGTGTGAAACATTGTACAGGGAGCTCAGCACACAGATCTTTACACAAACAGCCCTTAAAGGAGCTACCGGTCTCGTTATGCATAACTCATTCTATAACTCTACCTCATGGACAGAAATACTTAAAGAACACATGGGAGACAAGTCTTTGATTGAAACAGCTCGTGATACGTGTTCTCCTAAGGTAAGACATATTCTTTTGTTCATGATCTTTATATGGCTTTTTTCCTTTTTTTTTTTCTCTCTTTTTTAATTTGTGCTTGTATGTGAAAATAAAAGATTTTTTAACAGCATGGTTATCTTCATGCTGTATTGTCTTATTTTTTTTTTTTTTAACACATTGGCTGCCTTCCATCAAGGTAGGTTGACCCAAAACAAAAGGACACACATTCACCATCATTCAATAGCTGTCTTGCCAAAAGTGCAGACATCACAGTTCAAATTTCAAGTTTTATTTCTTTTATGCAGTATACAGATAATGTAGTTTACATTTAATAAAATATTGTTAGGCATAGAAGAAAAGCCACTAGCATGCAGTGCATTTTGGGCAAACTAATCTTGTTCTCTGAACTGCAGCATCCTCATCCCTCCTGAGTACAAGTGAGGGCAGAGGAGAGTTTGTTGAGGCAGTTTGGTTATTTAAAAAGAATAGAGCAAAACTGAGTGACCAAGAGTATGTATGAAGCCTTTGTGGAAGAAAAGGGAGAGTAGGGATCATCCCAGGATGGGCAGGAGGAGTAGGTTTGAAATGTTAGAAACTTAAGCATCCAGCAAACATGCCAGAACATGTTAGATCAGATTGAGTGGTGACAAATGGCTTTTAGAATTTGATGTGCTGTTCACTTGTGAGCAAGGTAACATATATGAAGATTCAGGGAAAATTGGCTAGACAGACTTGAATCCTGGTGGCTGGAGGTACTGTGCCAGTACTCCGAAGGAAGAGTGAGGATGTTGCAGTTCAGAGGGTACTTCTTGTGAGAGGTTCCTTGATGCCAGGGAGAGACTTAATCTGAGGAACTGGACCCAACTTTCCCTTCATTTGATCAAATTTGATTGCTTCCCAGTTCCCCAGGCACTCTATAACTCCTATGGGTTTAGTGCACCCCATCAATTAATAATATCAGAGGGTCATTTGAATTGTGATGTCTGTTCACTTGGTAAGATAACTATGAATGAATGATGGTGAATATGTTTCCTTTGGGTCACCCTGCCTTAATGGGAAATAGCCAGTGTGGCTATGATAATTGTGGAGCCACCACTAACACCTACTCTTCCTTACCACATGATTGTCAAGAATCTACAAGTAGGTATGTAGAAGGGCACCACTTATACAGCGGATTAGGTTCCAGGCTACTGCCATAAAAGTGGAAATTGCTGTTAAATGAATCACACATTTTTTCACCTATAAATATATATAAATGTTTCATAACATGTTTACATTATCATATATTAAATTAGCAATAGAACTAGGCATTAAACAAAAGTAAAGTAAAACACATATACAGTATACTTATTACATGCCTTAAAATATTTGTAATCTTAATGTAGGGTGAGAGGTGAGTAGTACAGTGGACCCTCGACCAACGATATTAATCCGTTCCCTGAGAGCTCATCGTTAGTCGAAATTATCGTTAGTCAAGTTAATTTTCCCCATAAGAAGTAATAGAAATCAAATTAATCTGTTCCTGACACCCCAAAGTATTAAAAAAAAAAATTACCACATGAAATATTAATTTTAATACACACAAACTGAAGAAGACATGTACAATTACATGACGCTTACCTTTATTGAAGATCTGATGATGATTGGTGGGATGGGAGGAGGGGAGTGTGTGGATGGTGTTAGTGTTTAGAAGGGGAAACCCCTTCCATTAGGACTTGAGGTGTCAAGTCCTTTTCTGGGGTTACTTCCCTTCTTCTTTTAATGCCACTAGGACCAGCTTGAGAGTCACTGGACCTCTGTCACACAACATATCTGTCCATAGAGGCCTGTACCTCCTGTTCCTTTATGACATTCATGAAGTGTTTCACAACATTGTCAGTGTAATAGTCACCAGCACGGCTTGCAATAGCTGTGTGAGAGTGATTTTCATCAAAAAAGGTTTGTACTTTAAGCCACATTGCACACATTTCCTTAATCTTTGAAGTAGCCACAATGGATTCTACAACTGGCATAGGCATCTCAGGGTTAGCCCCAAACCTTTCAAAATCTTTCTTAATTTCCATACTAATTCTCACCCTTTTTATCACAGGGTTGGCACTAGAAGCTTTCTTGGGGCCCATGGTGACTTATTTTGCAGGTGCAATCACTAAAAACGCTGTGATAATATGAAATGTTCCGATTGTATGTTTGGATGCGACCGCGGTGGCTGGCTTGTAAACACTGGCACCCATGGGACAAGTGAGGCGCGCTCAGCGTTGGTCAAGTTTTTTAGTGCTAGTCAAGGCAAAATTTTTGTGTTAAAATGTATCGCTAATCGTGTTTAACGTTATACGATGCCATCGTTGGTCAAGGGTCCACTGTATTTAATGTAGGAAGTCAGGTGTAGTAGGTGTGGTAGCTTGCCCAGCTACCATTGTGGGGTATTGTGTTTGGCTGGCGGGTGAAGAAGTCATGTGTGTTTGAGCTCCATCAAGTTTGCAGTTCTCTGACAGTTCCAGAGGGGCCAGAGTGCGAAAATAGGTGTGTGCAAAACCCACATAAAGGAAATATCACTGATCACTGAAGAGAAAAAATATAGATTATAGTGTCAAGTGTAGAGTGCCAGGCCTCAGAATAACAGCTGTTACTGGAGGGTGCCATACAGGAAATGGTGTGTGACTAGCAGTGAGCGTAGATCAATGAGGGGAAATAAGAAAGATCAAGGACTAGCATAAATTCAAGGAGCAGAAAAGTTAAGAAACGAAAAAGGACTAATCAAATAAATATTGAACTATTGCATAAGTGATATAACAAAGGAAAAGAATATGAATAGGCAGTGATATAGTGAACTGAAATTGTGGATAAGAGTAATCTTAATTAATCCCGAGTGATAGTGTACAATTTATGATGTAATTATATGGGAACAAATTGTGCAAGTGCCATGTGCACCCCCACCCCAATCCACAGATCCCCACCTCCCAGCCCCCCTCCTCACACCCCCACCTTCTTTCCATGGAGCCCCACCTCACAGCTCCCCTCCTCTCACCCTTACCCTCTTCCCACAGATCCCCAGCAGCCAGTCCCCCCACCGCCCAGCCCCCCACCTCCCAGCCCACCCATAACAACCCACTACCCGCCACATACACCTGCCCAAGAGTGAACATGGCCAGAAATAAAGTCTGTTGTATATGTGAAAAAAATTATGGGAGAAATATTAGGGGCATTGATTGTGAAATATGTGGTAAAACATCCCATATATCATGTACAAAGCTTCATGCAACCATGAGAAATGACCTCTTTAAGGCCTCTTTAAGGCACTCTTTAAGGCCTCTGGTATTTCACCAAGATCTAAGCTCTTTCTCCAAAGAATACTGAGGGTTTGTGCTAATGGTACTTTGCACTTCTTTATAAATAGAATTTTTTTTTATTATTATCACACTGGCCGATTCCCACCAAGGCAGGGTGGCCCGAAAAAGAAAAACTTTCACCATCATTCACTCCATCATGAATTTGGTCCAGGTGCTGAGTGAGTGGGCATGTTGTCCATTTCTTTATCGAAATCTATGGGATTTATACTAATGTCAGTTAGTTGGTCTGTGCGGCCTTTTGCTGGAGTGAAAAAATATTTCTGCATTTTCTGTCTTGCGTCATTTAGTGGATTTGCTTTAACAATCATGTTCATTTAGGATTTCACTCATTTCCTGTTCATTGTCAATACTACAGTCTCTCTCAATAAGGTGCCAATTCGCAGGTATCTCTTAGCTAGATTTTGTCCTATGAATGAATATTTTAGTTTCTTTTTAGCAATATCCTGTATGCCCTCTGTTCCTTTATCTACTACTTTAGTTGACATCCTAAGTTTTTGCTCTAATTCAGTGATCTCTTGGCTAAGACTATCTTTCCTCTGTTGCAGCATATGTATTTGTGTTTTTTTAGCAATTCAGTAACCCGTTTTCTTCTGTACCATCTCCTACGCTCTCTCTCTATATCTGATCTTCTTCTGGATTTCCTCAATGATATGTGCTTCATACATACCTTGTATGCTTCTATATTCAGCTTCTCTAGGCACTGGTGGGGATTTAGGGTGCTCATGCCTGATTCCCATATATCTGATAGCTCTTGGTATATTTTTTCCCAGTCTATTCTATGGTTGTTAAAATTAAACTTACTGAACATCCTATTAGTGACGCAGTTACCTAACCCTCGGTTAATACTCGTTTGAACTTCTATGATGTTGTGATCAGAGTATATTTTTTTTAACTGCTATGTCTCTGATTAGTTCCTCATTGTTTGTGAATAGCAAATCCAGGGTATTTTCATTCCTAGTAGGATCAATTATCTGTTGGTTCATTGAATACTTTTCACAAAGCCTCATTAGTTCCCTGGTATGTACATGTTGAGCCAGGGTGCTTCCCAGAGGTATTTCTCGCATAAAATTATGTTCTGCCATCTTCCATTTTACAAGAGGGAGATTAAGATCTCCAAGGAGTAAAATATTTGGTGTGGGATTTTCTAGCCTATCCACATAGCTATCAATCTTCCTTAACTGATCTGTGAATTCCTCAGCAGTTGCTGGGGATGGTTTGTATACAAGGATAATTACCAGATTCCTATTTTCAACTTTAATGCCCTAAACTGTTGTGTTCTGAGCACCTCTGCAAAAACAGTGATTATGTGTGAGTGAGGTGAAAGTGTTGAATGATGATGAAAGTATTTTCTTTTTGGGGATTTTCTTTTTGGGTCACCCTGCCTCGGTGGGAGATGGCCGACTTGTTAAAATAATAATAATAATAATAATACAGCCTCTCCTCACTTAGTGATGGAGTTCTGATCCTAAGACCACGTCATTAAACGAATTTGTCGCTAAGTGAGGAGCATACTATAATTCAATTCAATTCAATTCAAGTTTATTCTCTATAAGGGTTACAATGTGGGGTTTACAGGTTTTGGGTATTGTGTGGTTTACATGTTATAAAATACTAATTACAGAGGAGGCCACTAGGACACCTAGCATGGCTAGGCATTTCGAGCAGACTTAGATT